TTATAAGTACATATTTTTATGATATTGGTAAATAATATAAAATGTGATAAAAAACAATTTCTTTAATAATTAAAAAAAAAACAGAAAAATAGTGGCGTTGTAGCCTACAGCGCCACTTTTTAAAAAAAAAAACAACGTAAATAGAAAATTAAAAATGTATAAAATAAAAAAAATTAGAAATAGGTAAATATATAAATATATATTTTTATGATATGCGTAAATAAAATAAAACTTGATAAAAATCAATTTTTTGAATAATTTTTAAAAAAAATTAATAAATAAATAATGTGGCGCTGTGGCCTATAGCGACACTGTGGCGCTATAGGCCATAGCGACACAGGTGATGGTTGAGAAATTAATTACAGTGACCACGTGTCAAATTACCGCTGATTCAACCAGTAGTAATTGGACACGTGGCTTCGAACAGTAAAAAAAAATAAAATAAAAATACTTATATATAGTGATTATATCTCAGATGGTCCCCCCCCTCATTTTCGTTTCCAGACTTGTTGCATTCGAGAGCATTAGATAAGTTTTAATTTTTTTATTTATCTGTTTAATTTATTTAAAAATTATTTACTTACTTTTAAATTTTGTTAAACGTTTAAATATTTTTTATTTTTATTTCAGGGTAATTTTTATTTTGTGAATTTCTCCAGAGTTGCAGATTTATTCAAGCTTTCAGGTATTTAAATGTTTATTATTTTCTTTAATTTATAATTTATTTAAATTGATTAATTGTTATAGTTACTGTAATGTTTATTGTTATTAGAATTTTAAATAGAATTAAATAATTTATGTGTTAGTTATAATTATTTTAAAATTAATGATATTTAAATTTTGAAGCACGACTACCACGATTACTAAAATACTCAGCGCACCTGGTATACGTCGACCGAACTAATGCAGTGATAGAGAGATTTCTACAATCCTTTAACACCTTGTTAACACATTCAGACAAATTTGTTGTCATGTGACCATATCTTCGACCATCTGCATCATATGCCATACTCCATTTGTCTTTTGATATAGCTCCTATCCACCTTTGAACATCAGGGTTAGATTCACAAAACTTTTGCAAATTGCGATCAAAAATGTGCTTACACGGTGTATACCCTGCATACAAATTATAAATAATGCACAAATTATAAATAATGCACAATAAAATATTTACAAATGATTAAAAATTTTAAAATAACAATACGTACCTAACTTCACAAGCTTTTGTTTAAGTTTCACATCCTTGAATCGAGTATTAAAATTACTTGCAATGTGCCTAATGCAGTACTTGTGATATGCATTTGGCGGTCTCCAACCAATTGCCTCATTGTCAATGGCTGATTTAATGCTACGATGTCGATCAGATATTAAACATATCCCTTCTTTGTTTGTAACATGTAACCGCAAATGAGACAAGAACCACGACCACGCAAGTAATGTTTCTCCTTCAACAACAGCAAATGCAAGAGGAAGAACGTTGTTATTACCATCTTGAGTTGTAGCAATGAGCAATGTACCTCGATACTTGCCATATAGATGAGTGCCATCAACTTGTATCAACGGTTTACAAAAATTAAAGGCATCACAACACGGCTTGAATGTCCAGAATAATCTGTGAAATTGACGGTAACCACGATGACAACGATTACCAACAAAAAACTCATCATGACACAGATCATAAAATGACCCTGGAGCAATTTCTTTCATGTATTGCAGCCATCGAGGTAAATAAGCATACGATTCTTCCCAATCTCCAAAAACGTTAACAATTGCTTTTTGTTTCGCCATCCAAGCCTTTCTATAAGATATTTTAAACCCAGTTTGAGATGTTATTCTCTCTTGGATAAGGCTAATCTTGATTGATGGATCTTGGTTAACCATTCCTACATATTAAATATTAGTAAACACTAACAGAAATTATTATTAATATAAACTATAAACTTTGCAGAACTTACCTTGTATGAATGTTGCAATTAACTCAGAATCTAACTTAGCATGATCTTGGGACAAAGACATGTTCAAACACGTATGACGTCCACCCCACTGAGTCACTGTCCACTTATCAGATCTCTTTGACTCAATGGCTCTCATGTACCATCCACATCCATCATGTGCATTTGGACATCTAACAACCCACTTAGTCTTTTTCGACTCAACCACATAAAAACTTTGATGCATTCTCATTGCATTTTGCTTGACTGCATTTTTAACTGCATCTTTATTCTCAAACTCCAACCCCACATATAAATCTTGCCCAATTGACCAAGTACTACCGACATCCATCCCTGGGATATCTTCTTCATCGGGATGATTCCAATTGATGTTAGTGTAGTGGGGTAAATTACCCCAAAATTGACTTCCACCTATTTTAATAATAATGAATTTATTAATTTCCATAAAATCAATTTCAACAATTTATTTTAAACAAATAACAAATTATTGACAAATTTAATTTTCCGATGTTACCTTCAGTAGGTGGATACATTGAAATTGGTTCAACCATTGGACTATTAACAAGAACATCCGGCTGCACCTCATCATCAGATGGTTCACAATTATCAATTTCATCTTCATTCGATTCATCAATGCTTTCATATGATGATGAAACATGATAGTCTTCATCTTCATCGTCATCTTCATCTTCATCTCTTGTGATCAAAGGTGATCGTTGAATTGACAAATTTTCTAATGAAAAAGTAGAAGATTCTTGCATACCTATTTCAGCATATAATTCCATTATTGGCATCACATTCTGGCTCTGAAATGCTTCTATCATGCATTGTACATCATCATCGTCACTCAATTCCAATGAAGAATATATGTTGTTATCACCTTGTGAAACTAAAAATCTGTAACTTACAGATAATATCACTTGATTTGAGTTAAGATTAAATTTGTTGTGAATCCTTCTCTTTAATATATCCAAAGTGATACCTCGTTTAATATACATTCCTTTTTTTGGTCCATCAAATGTTACACCTTCAGCACCTTCATACATCTTTCCAGTGTAAATATAAGCAATCATTTGATCCATAATATCTGCAACAACAAAAAATTAATTAGTGCAAATACCTACAATTTATATCTTAAAAAAAACAAAATTATACTCACCGAATCAGAAACAAACGTAACTAGCTCAGAGATTTAAATCAACCAAAACGTAACTAATAAGTATATGATTTCAACTGTGAAAAAAACGTAGCTAGGGGGGTATATATAGTGATATTGGCGCTGTGGGCCACAGCGACACTAAGAGTCGCTGTAGGCCACAGCGCCTATTTAAAATTATTTAAAGGACAAAAATATATATACAAAAACAATATAAATTACAGAAAAATAAACTTTATAATTACAAATTAATATTTAAGTGCTAAATATAAATTAAACAAATTTCCAAACAAAATAAGTTAATAACTAAAAAAAAAATAATAATAATTACTGGCGCTGTGGGCCACAACGACACTAAGAGTCGCTGTAGGCCACAGCGCCTATTTAAAATTATTTAAAGGACAAAAATATATATACAAAAACAATATAAATTACAGAAAAATAAACTTTATAATTACAAATTAATATTTAAGTGCTAAATATAAATTAAACAAATTTCCAAACAAAATAAGTTAATAATTAAAAAAAAAAATTAACTAGTGGCGCTGTGGGCACAGCGACTCTGTGTCGCTATAGGCCACATCGCCACTTACATAAATAATTAAATCTATTTTTTAAAATTACGTTTTTAAATAAATTTTTTTTTATAAATATATAATAAGTATACTCAGTTGATTATTTTAAAGTTACATTTAAATTATTTCAGTTTTTTTCGTTTTTTTTCTTAAATGGTGTCGCTATGGGCTACACCAGCTTTGTTGACTCACAAACTGTGTTGGTCCAGCCCATAGCGTCACTGTTGAGGCTCATTCCAGCCATTCGTACGCAAAAAAAAAAAAAGTTACGTGGCATTGGTGTCGCTATGACCCAGAACGACACCGTTATAAACAGCCCCAAAGACATAAATAAATTTAAAACAACTCCATTTACGTAAATAACTTGGTCAACGATCTCACTTTGGTCAAAAAAGCCTAAATAATGGCAGTGATATTGTAGCCGTCGCGACCAACACGGCATCACTCATGACATCATAAGCTTTTAATCCGTACATGGCCACCACATAAGGGTAAACCGTAAACCAGCCTTTCCCATTTCGTGCAGTTACGATAGCTACACAGTCCATATTTGTAAGGAATTCAGAACATATTTGCAAACTACAATAATTATTTTTCACATGCCTATTAACCAATCTGAATCCTCTATGTCAGTGCGTAGTAACAAAGATATTTTACGTCATTACGTCACAACACTTTCATTATATCAAATTATGTTTTATCAGTACTTGATTATATAAAATTATTCACGCCAAATCATTTCATTATTATGAAAATTAACAATAATATATATATATATATATATATATATATATAT